ATTACTCCAGAAATACTAACTAGAATTTTAGACTCTACTATACGAATATGCTATCTTTGTTTGGAAAATAACGGTTCCCATTTTGAACATTTATTAGAAGTTTGACATGGTTTTAATAAAATCGATTGTTTATATCTGTGCAGTTACTGAGGTTAATACATATGTAATTAATTAATTATTATTCAGTATTAAACCATTTGTTTTGTTAACTGATTATTATTTAACATACTAGATGGACGAGTACCTGATTAATTGTATTTGTATCTAGTCCTCAAATTAAATTTATTATTTATTCATTTCATAAATCCTAGTAACGACTATAACTAGAGAAAAACATGTTGTAAGCTCTATGTGTAATACATAGGTGAATTTAGAATGAAGAATGCATTCAAAATCCGTAAAAAAAAATCCAGGTCCGTATTTAAAAAAAAGAAGTTGATGATGGTTCCACGATCACGAAACGTCGGAGAGCGAAAATATCATTGTCACGTTAAAGTTTATTAGAAAGTACAATGAGGATGTTTTGTTTGTTTTTTCATATGTTTGATAATAACGTGGAAAAAAAATTAAAAGCGAATTTCAAAAATTTACTTTTTTTCGAAATAAATCAGAAACGAAAAACAATTTTTGACATTGTTTAAGACCATTGTGATAGTATCCTAATTACGCAATTTTTTCCCCATTTAACCGAATTCGTATCTCCTACCATTTCCAAGATGCCCATGCTGTGCAATCTTGGACACAGTGTATACCGGGTGCCTACGATATTACTATTACTAGCCAGCCTACAACTTCCTTGTAAAAAAAGATATAGATTTCAAATTTTGGGATGTTGTATGGTTGAATACAGTGCACAGTTTGATTACTTCAAGATCTGATTTTCGTTTCCGGTTTAACCGGAAACAGTATAATATTTGTTATTTTTAATGGAACACCCTGTATATTATTTGAAATTTAGATTGCCCAGGAAATTGTAGGTCCAAAACATGTAGCAAACCCTATATCTATCTTTGACAGTTTTCGATAAAATGGCGGTTGAATATGTTATATCAATCATAAATTATTTCATTTTCACATGAAACAAATGAATATAGGAACAAATCTGTTACAGTTATTTAAGTTTTTTTGGTGAGTAAAATTTGCTAAAGTCATAAAAAATTTCATTTCAGACTGAACCGGAAGTACTACGAAAAGTGATTTTCAGGCTCCAATTTTTTTGATATTTTTAATAGAACACACTGTATTGAACCTTAAATTTACATTCTACTAGCCTTTCTGGATATTTTTTGTCCCCTGTCTAAACCTAATAGTTTATGAGATATCTGCGACTGAATGTTCGTTCACCTGCACTATATGTCACAAATCTGCTCAAAGCAGAAAAATAAAATAAGTATCAAAAGTGAAACACTAAAAGTAATAGGTAGGTATATTCTTTATTATAATCATAATTTAAATGTTCAAGATGTACACCGTTGACTTCTCGGCAAGAATGAATCCTTTCTTTAAATTCCCGAAGAACGTTTTCCATCTGAATTTGAATAATAGAGTTTATCACTTGCGTAATTCTATTTCTAAGGTCTCCTATGTTATGTGGTTGTGTCTTATACACCTTTTCCTTGATATGGGCCCATTAAAAAAAATCCAAAGATGTAAGGTCTGGGGATCTCGCCGGCCACCAAAAAACATCACAACAACAACAATCCAAAATTTGAAGGAAAGGATAATAAATGCTTTTAGAAATATTACTCCGGCAATTTTATGAATTTAGAAAACTCATTCTAAAGACGCATAAAAATTTGTGTCAGTCAAAATGGGCAACACTTTTTATAATACCTTCTCTTGAATTACAAAGAAATATATATACATATTTTTAATTTTTATTGCTGAATTTTGCAGTTATTATTGAATAAATCGAAAATGGTTACAAATAGCCATAGGGATGTACGTACAAAAAAATGTTTGTTTTTTAATTCTACATCACAATGTCCAAAAATGTACAAGGTGCTCCATTTGAAAAAATTGAGAAAATTCAGTTCAAATAGTTGGAGATTGGAAAATTATTTTTGGTCACCCTGTGTAATTTTAGGAATTAAAAATGGCTGAGTGTCGTCACACAGATGTCTCATAACTGGTATTAATATATTTTTTATTAAAATCGATAATCGTGACTGTAGTGTTTTTTTTAATATACACGTGTTATCGGATAATTTCAACAAAAAAAAATCGTTACATCCAAGAGATTGGGAGAGAGTCAATAATAATACAGGAGTGGAAGGAGGCCACAAAGAGGTTTCAAAAAATGTTCTGATATACATTTAAAAAAATGTTAGTTGACTCTGCAGAATCGTCTTGGCTCACCCTGTATATTCTAAAATAATGTCCTATTATCAACTTTTTTCTCTAGTTTATTTATGTTTTTTAAATCAAGTTCCTAGCTATCATAGAACACGACATATCGAGGTCGGACGCACTATTGCCCCACCCTGTATGTATTAGACAATAGTAAATTAAAAAGTTTAAAGAATACTCTTTGTTATTGTCGAGCTCTAGGAAATTCTTTATTTCCTTTACCAAGACATTTAACTTATAGTTAAATAGTAAAAAACAGTGTCATTATCTAACATTAAATCTTTTAAATATTAAAATACTTTCACTTATACGTGACTAAGTAAACACACACACATTAAAATGCCAATTTAAAATTTTTACTGTTAAAAACATATCAATTTTACATTTAACTATGGTTAAGTTAAGACATATGAATAGGAATGTTCACATTCCTATTCATGTGTGTATGGGTGTGGGCGTGTGCGCGTGCGCGTGTGTGTGCGTGTACGTGCGTGTGCATGTGCGTGTGGGCGCGCGCGTGCGTGTGTGCGTGCATGCGTGGGTGCGTGCGTGTGTGTGTGTGTCCAGAATATCTGTGGAGTTATTGTGAGACCTAACATAAAAGGTGTGCCTAAAAAATAATGAGACCGATGGTATAAAATTGTTCGACAACCGAACTACAAATCAAGTTTACCACCTTCAGAATAGTTCTTTTGGAAAGCCACACACCGCTGAAGACGTTGCTACCAATCGTGGTAGCTAGAAGTTTTCAACAAGCCTTCAGCTGGTCTGTCACATCCTTTTGGATGTTGTCCATAGTTCCAAAATGACATTTGAAGTAGAATTTGAGCTTTGGAAAAGGGAAAAAGTCACACGGAGTATGTGAGCTGCAGAACAACTTATATCGAGGTTCATTAAAACAGTTAAATCAAATTTTAGTGAATAAAACAAAACACTAATAACAAAATATATTTATTCAAAATAGCAATATGTATGATTTTTTCTCCGGGCGGGGGAGTAGAGTAGTTAACTAGATAAATCAAATAAACTTAAGACTAAATGAATCAAAAAAACAATAGAGACCTATATAGAAATTGCCAATTCAAATCATACGAAAATATAAATTCAACTTAATTAGTTGTTATTGGGCGCCATCATATCTTTAAGTTTAAAATATATACTAATTCTCCTTAACTAATAAACAACTGGCTACCTTTAAAAGATGGAAAATGTTTAAACAGTCAATGCTAATGAACCACATATAAATATATAGCACATTAAATGAAGTTAGTCTAAATGCACCGGGCGAATTTGCAAGTTTTTACTAAATGCAAGTCGACAATTTATTGTTCACTCGCGAGGCACCCAGAGTTCGATCACAAAGTATTCGTGGTGCCTAGGTACCTAGGGTTCGAAGAAAACGTTTTGTTCTTTTGCTAAATTTACAGACCTTCGCCTATACATGACTATACTGAAACAATCTTACTTGGAGCTCTTGGGCCAAGAGCACAGTCAGAGTTTTTCCCCTTATCACATCAGCTCGGCTACTTCATATCTTCTTAGTAAACAATTTTTCGCATAGTAGTGCACTACATGGGTAGTACAATAGGGTTTAATGATATTATTTTAATCGAATTTTAATCTATAACTCAAACCATTCTATCTAATTTTGAAGGAGTGTGGTCTAAATTATTTATCTTACAAAAATGGACCGTTACAAATTTTTGGTAAAAAATTTGGTCAAGAAGATAGCAGCGTTGTTGTGATGCGGTATCCAAGAGTTCGCAACCTCCGGCCGGACATGATTAACCCTTTTTCTGAGTCCTTCAAGGACCTCACGATAGTACTCTTGATTAGCTGTTTATCCTTGAGGCACGAATTTCATATGAACGAAACTTTAACTGTTGAAAAAATAAATTAGCTTGGATTTAATTTTCGATTTGCTCATTCTTGATTTTTTTGGGTGCCGTGATTGCTCCTGTACCACTCCGACTTTCGTCGCGTCGTTTGGTTTAGAGATCGTACTCGAAAATCCACGATTCATCACCAGTTTGAAAGGTCGTGACAGGCCAGCTGAAGTCACTTTCAGTTGAACACATCCAGCACTGCTATCAGCAGTGGACTACTTTGGAGTGGACAATGTTGATTTCTAGTTAAGTTGTTAATACATTTTTATAGCACCAGTTTCATTATTTTTTAAACATACCATAATAAGGTCTTGGTTTTGTAAACCTACCATAAGTTTTTAAAATATTTTCAAAATGTTGAAAAATCTTTTAGCCGGATCTCAGGATATAAATTCAAACAGATTTTTAAAAAATGTTTAAAATTTCGTGTTTATAAAAGGAGTAGCAATTCTGTGGAAAAATAATTATTAAATACAATATAAACAGTGCATTTGAATTACTTACAAATATTCACATATAATATTTCATTAAGACCATACTTGTTCATTATTAGTAAACTTTCAGAATGTATAAGAAATGTTATTTTACAAAATAAAACAGAAAGAAAAAATTAATAAAATTTGTATGAAAGCTTTTTTATATATTTCCAAATAAAAAAAATATAACCACCACAGAAATTAGACAGCCCCTGAATACATAGCCGAAGCTAGAAGGGGGTCACACTTAGAAAAACGTGGACATACAACCATTATCACTGAGATTGTCAGTCCCGGGGCGGGATTCGAACCCGCAGCTACAATATAAGGATTTCTAGTCACGATTGTCATCGCACACTCTAGCCAACTACGCCACCGAGCCGTAATTTATTTGGGCAAAAAATCAGTTTACCCTCGTAGCTCAAAAGCAAATCACTTTCATCAAAATCTGTTTATATCATTGAATTTGTCTTGGAAAATGGGCTCCAGAATGTGCCCTCATATTTTTTCTGTTGTAATTTTTGAGATATTCTGTAATCCCATAAAATTTGCCTCACCCTATACAATAAGTAATTTTGCAAATGTTGTATTTATAATGAAATTTAGTGGAGTAATGGAAAATACGAACCGTTGTTTGAGTTATTGATCAACAATATAAAAAGCGTAAACAAAATTTGAGGCTTCTGATTGATAAAATTAATTATTTTTTCTATGGGTAGAGATAAATGAACTATTTATTTAGAACGTGATATATATTTGTCTGTATTGTATTATTACAAAAAATAAATAAGGGTTGAAGACGAATCGGAAAAGTTTGTTTTGTGGTATCTTGAGCTTCTTTCCTTTCTTTTAAAAAGACGTAGAGCAAGCTCACTTTACTGGATTACAAACCCCTCTTAGAGATTTAAGCATTTGATATAGTCCGGACTGAGTTTTATCGACATAAAGATGATTTTTTTATCTTCATAATACTGTTGCTTATATCTGAGAAAACAATAAAGCTAGACATTTTATATATTAGTTTTTCAGCTGGTCATAATTTTTTATGAAAAATAGATGGTTTCATATTAAATATGACAGACTACAACAAAAATATAGTTAATGAAATACTGGATGAAACCTATTAAAGGCCACCTAACTGTGGCATGGTGGGTTGTTAAATGTTTCTCTTCATTCACGACTTTTGTTGTTTTTATTTATTTAAGCACTAATCTACAGATCATATAGATCCAATTACAGAAATATTTGAATAAACTTTTGGTCTAAAGTTGTTATAAAACACAATTTACTAACACTTAGAAATGTACATAGATCTATATACACATACTATACACTGTGTCCAAGATAAGAATGCACAGCATGGGCATCTTGGAAATGGTAGGAGATACGAATTCGGTTAAATGGGGAAAAAGTTGCGTAATTAGGATACTATCACAATGGTCTTAACCAATGTCAAAAATTATTTTTCGTGTTTGAATTATTTCGAAAACAGTAAATTTTTGAAATTTGCTTTTAATTTTTTTTTACGTTATTACAAAAATATGAAAAAACAAACAAAACACCCTCATTGTACTTTCTAATTAACTTTAACTGCAATGATATTTTCTATCTGGAACCATCTATAACTTCTTTTTTTAAATACGGACCTGGATTTTTTTTAATTTTAATATTCTTATTCTAAATTCACCTATTATTACAAACTTACCATTTTTTCTCTATTATATTTACTAATTTATAAATAATAAATAATAAATTTAATTTAACTAATACAAATAAATTTATTACTCTCCATTATATTAAATAAAATATTAACAAAAAAATTTAATATAATAATAATAAATTAATTAATATATTACTATAATAAATATAAAAATATTTTATTTAAATAATATCAAACTTAATAAATTCAAATATTATTTTCAAAAAATAATTTTATATATTAAAACTATTATTTTATATTTAATTTAAATCTTATTTTTATTTTAAATTATCCTTAAATTTTTAAATATCCCAAGAAAAAATCCAACCATATCCATAATATTTAAATCCAAATTTTTTCCATATAAATATTCTCGAACCAAATTTCTGGACACCATTTTTAACCAACAATTCTGAATCGAGGGGAATTTCTCGGGCGTCTTCAAGATAAGTTTTGTAACTTATCATATCTTAAATAAAATTATAATTCTTATAACATTAAATTTTTTTTTAAAATTTATTTTTAATAATAATATTATTTTAAAAAATAATTATTATACATCTTTTTACTCTTTATAAAAATTTTCATTTTCTACTTACCACTAATTCTTTCTTCTCTCTTACAAATTCTAAATTTATAAAACATTTTTTAAAATAAAATAATTTTTCCTATTAATTTCTTATTATATATTTTATAATTAAAATATTTTACTTTCTTTTTATTTTTAACCAATTTTTAAAGAATTTCTTTAAATTTAACTAACTTCTAAAATTTTAATATTAAATTTTATATTCAATAAACACATAGATATACATACAGACAAACTTGGTTTAATTGTGTTTGTTATGAGACCAATTTTGGTGCATTTTTTCCTTCAGGATCAAAGAAGGACCTTAATGGTTGTACCCCTTACGTCTTTACGATAAAAGAACATTCACCTTTTACACCTCGAATTCCATCCCAAGAGTAGAATGGGTAACTTGTGGAGAAGAGTTCTCAGCCACAAATGGACATCTTCTTGAAGATCTGAAGATATGCAACGTTTGTAAGATTACTGGGGCTGTTCGAAGAACCACTAAGTGTCTCAACGTGTTAAAAATTGCGACCCAAAAAGGACAGTTCCAATACAATCAGGTCTGTGTCAAGTGGATGATTAGCTGCGGGTTAACGACTATTCAATAGGTTCATTTATCAAAGAATAAGTTCCTTTGGTCTTCGATTGATCCAACCTCGCCTCAATTTGCCACTGATCTGGAGACACCGAGACTTGACTGGTGCCAAGAAAGTGTCTAGTGGGATGATTCTTCACGTTGTGGGCGCCACAACGTGAAGAAATGTGAGACTACAAACAAAATAGGAAATCATCCCACTAGACAAATGTCATTTAGTTTTGTATGAAAAGGGAGACAATACTTACTCGAGGGGTTATGGTATGGGGTGCAGTTGCATATGAAAGCAGGTCTTCTCTATTCTTCCTAGAAAGAAACATGAACGCACATTCACAGGGTTTTGGAACTGGTTGTGTTACCATTTCTTCAGAAATTGGAAAAAACTATTTTCGAACAGAATAACGCCAGACCCCATTCTGTTGTTAAAATCAGAAGATTCCTAGAATATACTGATATGAACATTCCTTCACGGCTCGCAAGTCCACCTCATACCTTTCGCCAATCGAACATGTATGGGACATGATAGGCTGAAGGCTATGTCAATTACCAGTCGCACCATGGACATTCAGGGCCTACGACAAGAGGCTCAGATTGGCACACTATACCTCACCTTTAATTTTCAATTAAATTCCAAATTCGAATAAAATAGTTTTACTAAACCTTACTGTAGCTATTTAGTGCGCCGCTACTATGCAAATAAAAAACAATTGTTTACAAAGAGGATCGGTTGCGCGCGCTGATAAACGAATTCGGGTGTGTTTAGCCAAGTCTTTGGTTTAGCGGGAGCACAAATATAAAGTATGATTCTGTTGCGGGAGATAGGTAGAATGAGGTAGGCCACTGCCAAAGTAAGATTAAAGTTGTTGGTGATAGAATTTGAATGATCAGCGACGTTGCTTTGAATTGTTACCTTTGTGAGTGGAAAAGTGTTGGCAAGGCGATGCCACCTTGTGGAAGGAGCTGAGCTGTTGTGAGTGTTCTTAGGCCCAGGCCATACACTCAATAAAAGAAGTAAGAATGTTTACTTTTATTGATATCTTTACGACCCAAAAAGATACGTAACTTAGGAAAATTTTAACTTCGAACCCCTAGGTACCTAGGCACTACCTTTAACTTGTGTCTGACTTAAGTGTTTCGCGAATGAATAATAAATTGTTGACATACATTTCTAAAAGACTTGCAAATTCGCCCCGTGCTGTTGAACTAAAGTCCTGTAGACATTTTACCTTTATTTATAGTTGATTATTTTCATGGACTGTTTAAATAGCTACACATTTTTTCCATCTTATAATGGTAGCAAGCTGCTTTAAGTTAAAGAAAAACATTCTATTTTAAACCTAAAACATGGTGGCGCCCAATAATTGCATTGCGATTGACACTAGTATATTGATAGCATACGAAAGCCAAAAGTGGAACACGTATGGGAGCTGATTCCTACTAATGTGCCACGAACAGTGGTAAATGTGAGTAAGAAATTTAGAAAAACGCGTAAATCCGTTATGTCAATTGACGAAGAAAACGAGAACAGTGCCAGAGTCACAAAAAAGTGCCCTAATACGAAAATAGACGTTTATAATCTTAAGTTCAAACCTAAGTTCCCCGCTGATATTGACAGTAAATCCTTTTATTCTAAAAGTGCTAAACCAAGTGAAATCGACAGAGACGATAAACGGTTAAAAAAGAGACAGTCGGTAGACGTTAAATCAATTAGAATTAAACAGAAAAACACGGATAAGTGGACTAATGTGAAACTGCGTCTTTATGATGTAGCCTTGAAAGCCGGCGGAACAAAAGACAATAAAACATTGATAAAACCCCAAAACCGAAAGTGCTAACAAAAGAAGAAGTGCTTCACGCACAATACGTAAGCGATTACGCCACCACCAGTTTGGCTGGCTCGATGATGAGTGAACCACCAAGCCCGCCCCCCAGGACCAAGTTACCAATTCCCGACAGTGACACTTTCGGATGACAGAACTCTCACAAAACAGTGAGAGCTTCTGGACATCCAGCGGGCATCAGAACAGGCAATATCCAAACATTTAATGCACCTACCCGATATATTAACTTACCCACCAGGAAAGTCTGATTGTGACATGCAAACCCAAATAGACATTACAACCGCAGAAATCCAATACGAGCAACTCACTAAATTGCGAAAAACAAGTAAATCTGCCGAGACAGTGCAAACAAAAACATCTAGAACTTTTAACAAACCTAAATCCACTAACGAGGCACCAACCAAAAACCCGCCGCTGGTTCTAAAGGGAGTCCCAGAGAGACATAAAGAATTTATCGAAGAAATAAGCAAAAATATCATATTCCATGTAAAGTTTTCTGTGCAAAGCACACTTCTATATATACACGATAAGACTGAGTACAACAGATATAAAAGCAAACTTAATGAAAACGACATAGTATATTACACATAATAAATAATAAAAAAGTGATAAGAATTATGCATTCGTTCTTAGAGGCCTGCGAAGAGACCCCTCTATCGAAGAAATTAAGAAT